CGGGCCTGACTAAGCAGACTGCACTCGGTTCAAGGTCACGACTCTGGAGCCACTGACTATCAGACGATGTCCCAGAACAGTCACAAATGCACACGTCCACTACAGTATGAACACTAATGCGCACAATACATAATACACGTGTACATACATAGAATACATACCATGTACACATGCCCGGACAAACAAACGCACGTACACACACAAGCTTTGCTGAGTAACCAGAAAAGGTTGGCAGGGTTCCTCCTCAGGTTTCCTAACAGTGTATAGTGTTCACAGTCCCCGAATAGAATCCCGTCAGCATCGAATCACGACAACAGACTTTTTTTACTCTGTGATGATGTTAAATCAAATGTTTTATGAAATAAAATCACCTCGTAAAAGCTGCAGAGAACCCTGTTGCGTGAAATAATTTCACACAACACCACACAGTCACTATGCACTGATGATGAACTAACTTCATTGATGTGAACTAACCATCTTCACAACCGATTACATCGGCTGCTTTTTTATTTGTTCAAGGTGAGAGATGTTGTCGACCGAAAACTAGCTGCTCCTTCTTTTCAGGTGTTAAACTATGCAACACATCTTAAGGGAGTTTTTGTACACAGCAGTAAATATGACGCACACACACATGTCAATAAAGTTTAATGTCTCACAAGGGACAAGGCTCCTGTGCTTAAAAGCCCTGCACACCCATCAACCACCCACACCAGTGGTTTCAATGATTCTGCCTCATTATACCTGTGTGGGCGTGTGCCGACTCAGCTTGATTGACATCCTCACTCTCCCCTTTCGTTTTGTTGCCGTGTTTCGAGTGAAGCACAACAGATTTATAGTTGTTAATAACACACGGACTCTTGTGACTTGGTGTAATTCCCGACATAATTCCGACCCTCTGCAACCTGACGAGAGATATTACCAGTTTGTAAAAAGAAACACCGGTGTGTTGGTGTACAGGACCTTTAGAGGAACAGTTCAACACTTTGGGATGCGCGCTTATATTTGCCTTCTCGCCGATGGTTACCGATGGTTACCGAGGGTTACCTTCAGACAAAACCAGGTTCCCATCTGTGTCCCTGCTGTCAGTCTTCATGCTCAGCTAAGCTCTGCATCTCTTGATAGCTTCATATTTAACTGACAGATGTGACATTGGTATCAATCAGTACAGTGCAGAACACTGTGAATGGGGCAGCACGCTTATAAATGCTTTAAAGAATAATCAATAATACTTTAATGGCCTTCCAATGTGCTCTTTACTTCACCCCTGAGCTTACAATGTCTAGCATGATCCAGATGACACCGCCTATAAATCCATTACTATTACATTGGAAACACGCTGTACATTGCATGTATAATTAATCTCAAAATGCATCAATCCATTTACCAAGCTGCATAATGCACACGGAGAACTGGACTGAAACGTTGGGTAGCCTCAAGTCCAGTTAGTCCAAATTAAAGGATAACCGCAGGTCTGATGGGCTGGATGGTACAAACTGAATATTAATGCAGCAGTCTAGTAATATCATCCTTAGGGAGCAAAAGCTTTTGGAAGTGGGTCTGACTCTGACCTCAATGTCTCTCTCTCCCTCTTCCATAATTCATGTTCTATGTGTTTGTTGGTTGCGGTGATTATTTTTAGCGAATGGCCCGTATACCGACAAGTGGGCATGGACAAAGCCACGGGGCAGGTGAGGGGGCACGCAGCAGGGACCTGGGTGTGTAGGTGCACATTGCCGCACATTGGTGAACATGCCTCTGTGTGTGTGTGTGTGTGTGTGTGTGTGTGTGTGTGTGTGTGTGTGTGTGTGTGTGAGCAGCAGCAGATGCCTGTCTGCTTGGGGTGACGGCTGATGACATTGATAAGTGACGGAGGATGTGGACCTTTTCTGCAGCTACTGTCTTCTGGGGAGCTGCGTGTCAGAGCTGCACTAGAGCAGAGGAATAGCTGTCACATGTGCATCACATTCACAGAGGTGACGGTGAATTTTTAAATCGCACTTCGTCACAGGATCTTACAATAGCTTTTTGGCAAGATAAAGTGGTTTGGAATACTGACAACTGTTATATTTTTATAAGTAGTGTAAAAGCAATCAAACGTATCAGTGAGGATTTAGTGTTCAGATTTTTACAGACTCATGTTGGGGGGGGGTTTCATCCTTATTTTCAAATGTTTGAACTTATTGAATAACAAGGCGTTTTACAATGTTTGACGAAGAAATACGACGGCAGAAAATTGCAATTCCTCATTTTATATCTGTTGGTGGAAGCCGCGATCATCAGCATAAACATGCAAATTGCAGATTGAGAGGCTGAACGATTTGTACGAAATGTGTGTGTGAATCAAAATAATGGCCAACCAAAATACCAGAATAGTAATGATTGATCGCCGGGTGGTGTGGTATCTCTAAAAGTCATTCGAAGGATCCTCACTGTCGGCTTCTCCACTGTGTGACAATCAATCATGCCCTGGAGCTTGATTGCCACGACCCTGGCCTGTGTGTGTGCGCGTGTGTGTGCGTGTGTGTTTGTTCCAACGTGTAGATGCGCGTGACCGTTCACCTTCACGTGTTGACAGTGACATGGGGGGCAAAAGTGACATCAAAGATCCATCCAAAGGAAAGTCTATAACATTCAATTACTGCAATTGCTCCGTCACATATTGACATTATCAGGCAAAGAGGGTAACGTCGGCCTGCAAAAGAACTGTACGTGGTGTGTCATGCACGGGACCACACGCGGAATGTTGATGGTGAAAGTCGACGGCCTGCACGCTCAGCTGAATGAGTGTGCACGTGAAAGGCGGCTGGGTGTGAGCGGAGAGAGAGAGAGAGAGAGAGAGAGAGAGAGTAGTATCAGAAGTGAAGCAGTCCGGTGTTATTGGAGCTGACACAGAGAGGGAGAGAAGCAATGCGAGTGAGGGAGACAGAGGTTGTGAGGAGGGTGTGGGGGGGAGGAAGAGAGGGGGGGGGTTAGAGGGATGGAGTGAGAGAAGAAACTGGAGAAAGGCAAGTGAATGAAGCAGAGGGGCGAGAGGAAAATATATATATGCCGATCTTCCTCACGCTTATGGGGCTTATCTAGGCTCTCCAGTCAAGAGAAAGACATTAAAGCAGAGGCTTTCCGAGAGGAGTGTTTTCTCACAAATAATCTCGCAAGCCACGTGGATTTTATTGGAATAATATGTTGTTATCTGATACCCTAAAAAAATAGTTTTGAGGTCTTAATCATTCTACAGAATAAACGGACACAAAAAAAGTCTCACGACCTGTATATGACATACCGGGCTATAAACATACATATGATTGACATACGTCATTATTTACGCCTTTCACTTATAAGAAGATGCATAAAAATGTCCAGGGCATTTCTTTGGAATAACCTCCACAGAAATCTCACGCACCGGGTTCAAGACACGCGCTATCCGGGCTGCGTGCTCCCGTCTCCTGCAGAAAAACAACACACACACAAAAGAAAACTCACCTCAACGACCTGGAGAAAAGATCCGAGCAGAGCCGAAAGAACTTCTCACTGCCGTTTAGCCTACTTGACAATCACGGAAGCCTCAGCGCCTGCGGACCCATCTCCTTCTCCCCACTCTTCAGTCTCTGTGTCCCCCCCCCCTCCTCAGCACCGCGCACTGCAGAGCCCGGACGGTTTGGCGCTGACAGCCGAAGGAGCTGCTTTGTAATTCCCACAGGGCAGAAAGCACGGCGAGGATGCACTCCGCGCGCCTGGGTTGAAAGATGAAGAGGAGGAGGAGGAGGAGGAGGAGGAGAAGGAGGAGGAGGAAGAGGAGGAAGAGGTGACGGTGCGCCACTTAACTAGAGTTTGTAATCCGCTGGCTCCGTCGGGGGCCGTGGAGAGCGCACCGTACCCGGGGACCAGCGGCCTCGGAGCGCGGTGCATCAGCGCCACCTGGCGGTTGTGGCGGCCAAATGACACGTGGTAAAAAAAACGGATTTTCCGGTTCTCGGCTTTGATTGGCTGCGATACGCTTCAGCGGTTTTGTAATAGACGATGACCGCACAGCTGAGACCACTTGGTAGTTATTAAAGTTCCCGCTGTGCCCCCCAGAATTCGTTGGTTCGGATCCGTTTAAATCGTCTGAACGTAGTGGACGAAGCCTTTCCCTGCTATGAATAGAACATGCAGGTTCCCCCAGGTGCTATTTTTATCGCTTTTAATAGATTTGGTTGGTTTTATCATTATCATTTTTTCATGCATATTGGATTTGTTTGCTACCGTGATCACCAGATAACCCTCCACCTATGAAGGAATAAATACAAAGATAAATATTTATTGGTGTTCAATCTGTGCTGAACGTACATTGACATCTAATATTCTAAAATCTACTTTGGATTGAATAACGTATTTAAGGTTTTGTTTAAACCTATTGCAAAAGCCCTGATGCTCTTACCGTAACTTTATATTTTTAATACGGTTTATGCATAATAGTCCATTTAAAGTGCACCCAATTCCACCACTACATTACAGTTATATCTGAAATCCTGCAGGCTTACGCCCGTTGCCAAGTATTCACAAGTCAAGCCATTGATTTACGAGGCAGCAATTTTAATAGGATATGTGGTCTGAAACGATGTGTGCGGCTCCTTTGAAAACCCATTCATCCTGATTTATTCTGATAAACCGACCGGGAAAAGCAGAGGACACGCTATAGCAAAACATTTTTAATACCCTATACAATTGATATAAATCCTGGATTTTTCTCTTTAATGTATGTCTTTCTCAGTCCCAATCCACACATTTCACAATTCAACATTGGCCTCTAAATGGGAGATCATTGATTTGCCCCTTCTCGGCCTCTCCATCACAGACCCATCGCCTGTGAATGAATAAACGTCCTGCAGTTGAAGGTTCTCTTCTGGGTGTGGACGGTCGCTGCCGATCACGGTCACTTTGGCGGAAGAGACACTCGTGCGTCTGGAGCGAGAGGAGCGCAGCTTCGTGCGCGCGGACCACGCCCCGGCCCCCGCGGAGCGGCGCACCAGCCGCTACATCCGGGTTCTCTCCTCGAGTATACAACAAGCCCTGCGAAGATGGCGACTTCAGGGAGGAGTGCGTTATTATCCTCCACCTCGACTGGATCTAAGAGCACGCTGGAGAACTGTAACCCCGAGGAGGATGACGGACAGGACTTGTGGTGGGCGATTGTTATATGTTATTTGCGACGGTCTATTACGAGCAGCGGTTTGTGGGCGATGAGCGTCCGTTGTGCCGGGATGAGGATGGTTTGACAGCTAGCTAGCTCGCTAACGAGGCTAGCTAGCATCAGCACCAGGGTGACTGCTGGCACCGCACCACCGTTAGCTCCCCGAAGCTATCCCGCTGTCAGTGGTTGTTTTGTTACTCAATAAAGGAGCCCTTGTTTTGCAGTGTTGTAACGGGACTGTTGTGTCTGCAGGTCCACCATCCTGAGTGAAGTGTCAACCCATTCACGATCTAAGCTACCGGCGGGGAAAAATGTCCTGGTCATGGGTGGGTATCTGTGAATGTCTGCCGATGAGCATCGTTAGCTGGTACACTAAATACTGCTCCATTGCAAAGCTAGCTTGCTTTGGACGGATGCTGCTTTTGTGTTCAAGCCAGCTAGCGGGTGCCGCCTAGCAGAGAGAGCAGAGGGAGACAGGTGTATTTTTCGGAGCACCTGCACGGACGCCGCGCACTCACTCACACACTCCCCCATCATCTTATGGGAGAGCGAGAGGGGGAATCGGGCCGATTTGAAACCCTGCAAGTCATTCTAGCAACCAGTGATGCTAGTAGCAGCTAGGTGGGGATGATGCTGAGGGGATCAGACGAACCATCCGCGTGTGTGTGTGTGTGTTCTTTTTTTTTCAATGCGGCCACGATGCTTAATGCACTGAAGCTGAGAGGGTTCATCCCCATGCCGCTCGGTCCTCTAGTCCCGCTGCTGTACACACTAACACACACACACACGCGCTACTTCACGACACATATCCGCTGGGGTTAATCCGCAGCCGTCCACCCATTCCAGCTAATCAGCTGTTTGATGTCCGGTATGACGTCACAGCCGTTTGTCTGTATCTATTCCCAAAATCAGCGAGCTCCGCTTGGTGATGCATTGATATGGTACCGTGCAAGAATTGATGCATCTTTGCCCTTTAGGACACACACGCGGTGACAATAACAATGTTACGCTGATGACGGGACAAATGCAACTACGTTAGGGCTGTTGGACCCTTCATGACAACATAACACTTTACAGGGGAAAGAGTGTGGCGCAGCTGAAGTGGATTGTTTACAGTACATTTATGCTTTACACGCCACGTGTTCAGTGATGAACCAATGCATAATTAATTATATAGGTTATCTGCTAATTTATTAATCCATCGCTCAAGTCATTTAGTACCTCTTTTGTTGCTTGGGATTTTAAAGCAAATCCATTTGTGGGTTTTGAAATGTAACGGGAAATCTACACTTTTTAAAAGCATTTTCTAATGATAAATTAGTCAATAAAGCAAAGTGCAAGTTAATCGTTAATGCGAATATTTTTTAGTTGCAGCCCAATAACTGTGCCTATGTGTACAATGCCAATACGATGAGGTTGGATGCACATTTTGTATAAAGTTACCACTATAATAACAAAAGCATAGACCAGGCTACAGCCCATAATTTGCCTACCGTGCATTATTCTGTTTTTTTAACTGATTTTGTGTGCGTTTAGGTGAGGTGGGTTCGGGGAAGACCGCCATGGTTGCAAAGCTTCAGGGGGTCGAAGAGTTCATGAAAGGGCGTGGCCTGGAATACCTCTACTTCAGTGTCCATGACGACGACATTGATGGTAAGAAGCAGTTGAATTTTGTATGTGTCTGAAGTCCTTCCCGGGGTAATGTGCGTGTCTTTGTGCGTGTCTATAACTGTATGTAAATAAGAGAGTATAAGTGTGTGTGTGTGTATGTGTGTGTGTGTGTGTGTGTGTGTGTGTGTGTCTGTGTGTGTGTGTGTGTGTGTGTGTTCAGACCAAACCAGGTGTAACGCCTGGGTGCTGGACGGAGACCTTTACCACAAGGGTCTGCAGGGAGTAGCTGTACCTGTGGACTCGATCAGCAACACGTTACTGCTGATAACGGTGGACATGTCGCGGCCATGGAATGCCCTGGACTCGCTCCAGAAGTGGGCCGCCGTTGCTAGGGAACACATCGACAAACTCCGGGTCGCCCCAGAAACACTGCGGGAGCTGGAGCACAGACGTGAGTCATACTGACAGGAGTCAGGCAGACGGAGGAATGTGAAAACAATGTATATATGTACACGTGTGACCTCAATGAAATGAAATCACTTGAAGGATGTCAGTCTTTGTTAAACGTTTTTGATCGGACCGCTAACCCTTCAAGAGTTTTGTCTTATGAAGCCCAGTTAGGACAATGATATGCCGCATGTTTAAAATGAAAAACCACTTCAGATCTAATGTGTGTGTGTGTGTGTGTTTTGCGTGTAGTTGTAAAACAGTTCCAGGAGTACACAGAGCCAGGAAGCGGAGATGATGGAACCCCACAGAGGAGGAGTGATGAGGAGGAGAGTGTACTGCTGCCGTTAGGAGACAACACACTGACACACAACCTGGGAATACCCGTGGTGGTGGTCTGCACCAAGGTACTCGCATAATCACTGCTGGCTTACAAGTTTATTTTACTTTCAAATCCTGATTGTGCTGTACATTATTCTGTGACAAATGAAATCTGTGCGGGGAAAGTTTATTTATTTCCAAACGCAATGTCTCTTGTATATTTTTCTCTTCCATTGACCCTACATACACACAACCACCTCTCTCCGTCACCTACTCGTCTGACCACAGTGTGACGCCATCAGCACGTTGGAGAAGGAGCACGACTACAGAGACGAACACCTGGACCTCATCCAGTCTCACATCAGACGTTTCTGTCTGCAGTGTATCCTTCAGTGAACACACGGCTCTGAGCAAATAGGTGAACAGAACAAAAGTGTACGGTGCCGTGAAAACAGAAAAACTACCGCAGTCCATGAAAGCGTTTTTAATGGGGGCTCTCGATCAATACCACAGACTTTCCCTGTGATCTTCTGACAAATGGGGCATTTATTCACATTTTGGCCTGTGCTCTCTGAACAAGCAACTGCTCACAGGTGAAGGACGGCAGTACGGCCGAGTGACTGTGCACTTGCAGGTGTTTTGTCCTCGGGCCAAACTCAAAGTTCCCAGCATCATTGTTTTAGCCGTAATTTGACCCTTGTAAATTCCATAAAAGCCATGCTGTAGATTACCTGTTGATGCGTGAAATAGTTTTCTCTCGTCCATGCTCAATGAAAGCGCTGTTAGACTTTCAAGGGTTGTCGGGTTTGAAATGAGCCGAGATTAAACACTTCTTCTTTTCATGTTTTGTGTACTGGCCACAATTAATCTGACTAGAATATCTAGTTCTGTAATGCGACTTGAAAAGATGCATGTAGGATTCGGTCTCTGTGCTGCTGTTCTTTTTTCCGCTCCTGTATTTAGAAATAGTGGTTCTGAAAATACCCTTGACAGCCTTGTCAGACGGAGCATCCCTGGTTTATACATCAGTGAAGGAGATGAAGAACCTGGACATCCTGTACAAATATCTGGTCCACCGACTCTACGGCTTTCCATTTCACTGCCCGGCACAAGTGGTGGAGAGAGATGCTGTCTTCATGTAAGTGTGTGTGTGTGTGTGTGTGTACATGCACTGTAAATACTGTGGGGCCACATTTATTTGGTACTCAACCCTTCCTCTGCTCTTCCAGCCCGTCCGGTTGGGACAATGAGAAGAAGATTGCCATACTTCACGAGAACTTCCAGACAGTAAAAGCAGACGACATCTTTGAGGAAGTAATAGTCAAACCACCAGTCAGAAAGGTACGACACCACACTAAAAAAAACGTCTAACTGTGAAAGATCCTCTGAGGTGAGCTCAACTTACAGCGCAATGGATTGATTACCGCTCTAATGTTACGTATCATTACCGCCCGTGTTATTTTCACAGCCAACTATTAAAGCAAGTTTTCTTCCCTTCCTCATGAAAGTTTTATCCGATCTAATTAACTAGATGAGTTGAGCTAAAGAGTTTAAAGCTAAAGTAAAGACTGTTGTTTTTTATTTAATTTTTTTTTTTATTTTAAATCTGTATTTTTTTTCTTGCTTGTCACCAGGTTGTGCATGAAAAAGAGATTCAGGCAGAGGATGACCAAGTGTTTCTGGTAAAACTCCAGGTCAGAAAACCTTTCTGTTGTGTTGTTGCCATTTGTTTAGCTGCCTGTTTATACTCCAGTTAAATCTGACTTTGAGGGTCCTGATATGTTAGCTGGATACTAATTGGAGTGCGTGCTCATATTGTGCTCTAATTTGCAGTCGCTGCTCGCCAAACAGCCCGCTGTGACAGCAGGGCGACCAGTGGTGAGTTCTCCTGTTGTTATTTTTGTTCTTTATATCTAGTTTTGGCTCATAAATGTCTAATATGTGTCTTAAACCGTCGCCGCTCATAGGACACCACCAGTAGAGCACCAACCGGCTCGCCCAGGACCAGTAATCGCTCCGCAGCGGCCAACGTAGCAAACGCAATGCCACAGTCGGGTACGTTGTGCGCGTTGTCACTGCGACAACATACGTCATGCATGTTGTCACTGCAGTGCGTGTCTGTCTTTTTTTAAACTCTGGTGTCCGTACGCTGCAGGTCAAACCAGTGAAGGTGTGTTGGCGAACTTCTTCAACAGTCTACTGACAAAGAAAGCTGGAACAGGGGGGCCCGGGACACCAGGTGGCGGTAACAACACTCCAGGAACAGTACGCAAGTCGGGTGAGTTGGTTGGGGGGGGCTTTGCATTTTTAGTGGGATAGAGGAAAAAGAAAGAACATCATAAAAGCCCCTGTCTCCAAGGCAACACCCATCACCTTTTTGCCAGTCGGTAGCTCTGTGTGTCTTTTCACTCTTAGCCGTGTTGTGCAATACCACGGTGAACATCGCTCATGATGTGTGTTTGTGTGTGTGTGTGTGCACTAGTCAGAGGATGTTGGCCACGTTAAGGTGTGTGTGTGCCAGTGATGTTTTCTAATTTGTTTTTGCTTGTGAATGCCATTTCTCATTCTCAGAAGCATCCCTATATTTCCATTGACCCTCTCGCTCCCCTGAGCCTCCGACTTTCTCCAGCAAACAAGGAGGAACAAACTGACTTTACGTTTTAAACGGAAACTTTGCAGGTTTCAAACTCTTTGTTTCATTGCAATGAGGGTGATACGTGCAAGTGAACGAGGGTGGTGTTACCACCCCCCACCCCCACCCGCACCCACCGGCAATAACCCTAAAAATTCAACAACCACATTACGACGATGCAAAGAAGGTTAAAAATCTGCAAAGACGTCTGCCTTTTCTATTGAATTACTTTTGCGCCACATGCCTGCATTTTGTTCTTAGGAATAGTTTTATCACTTTGATTGTTTCACTTCTTACTTAATTACAGAATAGGTGTATTCTTCATGAATATTCACTGATTTGGTCAGGGCGGGGGAAAGGCATTTGAATGACTGGTGATTTAATGACAATTGCCCCCCTAATGTTTCCTCTCCTATTACCCCGTGCCCATTCTGGACCTCTTATTTTTGGCATGCTGCACTGCATTTCTCAACACCCATCTGCCAAATACATTGCACATGATTGTAAATGACACCTGGCGATATGGGACAAAGATACACCTTGATACTTTTCAACATATTAGCCATATGCTTAAACACTGTATACCCAATATTCTGTTATTCTCTGTGAATTTATGTGCTGACATGGTATTAAGGTTTTCAGTCGAAACAATACTTTTAACAATGTAACGATCAGACAAGCTCAATATCATCTGTCTGTTGTCCTACTGCAGCTCTTATTTCCTTCTCAAATTAGATGAGATGGATAAAACCAGTTTGAGTCTTTTGAAATGATAATCTTTGATTGAAAACAATTCCCTAATTAGCAATATACATCAATATAACAGCCTGGTCTTATTTTAACCTTATTGTGTAATTGCATTGTGCTGTGACCGCATGATGCTGTGTCATTTATTCCACCGCCAAAGCGCCCGCTGTGTTATGGCACCAATACTTACGTATTTATTCTGCAGGGTCCAAGCTGGGACTGAGCGACGTACAGGCCGAGCTGGACCGCATATCCAGCAGGGAGACCGACTCAGACTTGCCCAATGCCAACGACGCCCCTGCCACCGACGGCCAGGACACATGAAGACCAACACACTTTTCCCCCCTTGCGCTCTTTCTCCCCCGCCCCGCTCCACCCCTTTCCACCTAAAGTCACCTTCCTCCTCCGTTGTTCTTCCTCCCTCCACTCCGTTACAGAGATGCGGGGAGAAGGAGAGATGGAGGCACACGACCTTTCCTCTCCATCCTCTTTCACTTTCTCTCCAAGGAGAATAACTCCCTCTCTTCCCCCCCTACCGCTTTTCCAGCACCATGACAACCCCATCCCCCTCCTCCCCCCCTACACACCTCCGGCCCGCTCTCCTCTCCTCCTCGCCATTGCTGGCGAGCATTTGTCACTGTTGCATTCAGGACTGTCTGTTACATGAGGGTGAACAGGTACGGGGGACCAGTTGGGGTGCGGAGGTCGAGGTGAGAGGGAGTGAGAGGCGTGTTGAAAAAGATTGATTACAGGAATGAATGAGCGGGAGTTCTATCCATCTATTTCTTGTGATGGTGAAGTTGGTGTTTTTACAGTAGGAACTGCTGAAGGGTGCACGACCCTTCTGTTCACTATAGGGATGATTTTGTGTTTAATGTACGTGGGGGCAAGTCACACTTGGCCAGAGGAAGAGACTGAGAACAACAAAAAATGCCTGAAATAAAATAGCCGACAGTCATGTTTTTTTAAAACGAAGGGACAAACATACCAGTATTTGTGTCTGTGTGTGAGACCGTGTGTGTGTGTGTGTGTGTGTGTGTGAGAGAGAGAGAGCGATAACGAGGCAGATAGAGAGACTGAAAGGAAGTTACTTCAACCTAGACCTGTATGGAGTTTTTTGGCTGTTTGCATTTAAACCGAAAGGCAGAAACCTGACTATGCTCTTACACTACACGCTGTTAAACCAGCGCATACACTACGATTGGAGCAGCACCACTCGAGCCAAACATGACAAAGGGAAATACACTTCAGATCAAGGTTCAAACTCACGCATTAGTCCGGTGTAGAGGACACCCCCCTGTCCATCATGGCGCCCACTTCTACAGTCGGCCGAACTTCACAAACATCATGGACGCTGCTCAAACTGTAGATAACAGACCGAAAAGGGGAGAGCGGTAGAAGGGGGAGGGAAGGTGGGTAGCTGCGCTTTACTTGCACAGAAAGAAGCACTAGTGATTCAGTCCTATAGTTGCTGCGGGCGGGAAAGGGAGTCAGAACAACGGTGGGTCACATCAAGAATGTACAGTCATTGTCTCGCTGATTGGTCCTGTTATTTCAGAGCTCTGTGTGGCCATTTGTATAATCAGTTCTGTTAATCAGTCAAATAAAAGGTGTATTTATTCGGATTCATCCACCTGGCTTCTTTGTTTGGTTTTCTTCCAATCTCTCCTCCTAATTCAAATTCTAGTCTGGATTTATATTATTTATCTACGGTATTTTTATAGATTGCTCCAGTATCTTGTACCAGGAATATATCTTATATCTTTGTATACATAAACATATAGTTTATGTATACCTTACTTTAATGTGTTTATGTAAGTGTTTTCCTTAGCTGCAAGCTGATAAATACATTTCCGATTATCATCGAAATACTGTAAACTAATTTGCATTCTAATTCAAAGGAATAACAGAGATTTGTTAGCATGTGTTTGCATTACTACGTTTGCCAGGAGAGTAATTTGCTGATGGTATCTTGCAGTCATACAGTTGTGATTTCTATTGTCTTTTGTATTTACTATGCAGCATGTGTTTTTGCTTGGGGGAATGAAATAGACTTTCTCCTCTTTCTGGCACAGTTGGAGACAAGTGGATGAGCTTCATTTAGTTTCATCCTGAGGGTTTGATGTTAGTCCCACATACTGACGAAGGTATCAGAAACTGACGAAGATCCATAAGCTGCTGCTGAAATAAATGTCATCTCGTCACACTTGTTATTTCTCATCCTGACGTTGATATTATTCATACCCTTTCCAGGCCTGTAACTCAATTTTTTATCAGCCTGCTACACATTTCTCACACTGAAAGAGGAAGAAAAAACATCTCATCTGGCATAACTTCAAGTTTACTTTTCTATTTCACGTGTTATCACAAATGCACTTCCCTATTGGACTTTGACCTTTTTTTTTACTGCTTGGCACTCATAAGACACATGAACATGCACTTTGCTATGTGTGACCCTTTTATTCTTTTTCATTTAATATACACATATTCTCTTTTTCACATAGCCATAATAGGTCAAATCAAGTATGGGAGGTGGAAGTAGGTGCACAGCATGCACATTATTTATTGAAGGCTACTGATGTTACCCTGTCGTGCACATCGCAATTTGATTACAGCTAGGATTAATTTCCCAAAAGGGAGATGAATTGTATACAATTTCAAGAATAAACATAGGCAATGTGTTTGCCCCTTTTAAAGACATGAGTAGGTAAGCCCACTTATAGCCAAGTATGTACATATTTTACTGTCTGCCTTCAAACAGTTGGTGATGGATTGAAAAGGCTTTTCAATTAACCACAAAAGCAATTATAGAGACAGGGGATCCAATGCAATTTAATCCACAGCAGAGCATTAAGTTGTTCCCCTTCAATCTAAAATGTGCTATTTATGTCTCATGAAATCAGATTAGGGGTTTAGATCAAAAAGTGAAATTCAATTAGAAGATTTGAGAACGTTCAACCTGGTTTACTTATGTGGACTATATTGATTGTTGCTCTCCAATTAATTACTGCAGTTGATCATTTGCAAAATAAATCCTTGTTTAACTCTGGAGTAAAAGTATTAGAAACGTGGATGAGGTGGATGGAAAGCACCTTTATTGTTTGAATTAAATAAGATGTGTGGATGAATGATGTTGCTATGTTAATTCACTCCTTCACTCATTATATCACAGCTGCCCATAAATGACATTCCATTCCAATGATTGCTCGTAACACAGATCGTTCATTTATATGATTCAAAACAGTAAATCCCAAAAGGGCAGGCTTCCGTCAACATTAAATCATATCGATACCCGACAAAACCTCTAAAATAACAGTTTCTATGGTAAAACTTTATTTAAAACGGCGCTCTATTTTTCGAGTGCGGCAGCACACTGTATTCTTTCCACCTCGCCATCTTGATGTGAAATAGCACAGGCGGAAGCAACATCCTCCGCGGAGCAACAGCGGGTGTGGTTCGGACTTCTACGGGTGGTTCACCTAGCAGCATTTTTCCAATTTCCAGCCAAGAGAAAGGACAGACATTCCCCGACAAGAACCACGGCGGAGGCGCTCGACTCTGGTAACGACAGTACGTCTACTCTGGCTTTTCTATAACGACTCTACCGCACATCAACGTTTGCCTCGCCAGAGAAAATCATCTTTTGCCAGGGAGGGGGCTCCGGTGGGGTTTTCTAATTCGGCTGGCAGAGCAGCAGGATTTTGTACGCTGGCGCTTGGATCTACTTTTCATACGTCCTCGCTAGCTAACGTTAAGCTAATCAAACCAGATTTTTTTTTAAATTGAGGGTTCGCGTCAACGTCGCGATTTGTTTGATTTGGGGGATTCGTAGCGAAGCTTCCGTTCGGGGTATTTGTCGCATCTCGTTATGCGCATTCTCAATTTTACGCGTTGGGAGTGAGCCGCTAAACTGTGTTTGTTTATGTTAGCTAACGTTAACTAGCGGAGGGGTTAGCTACGCACGTTAGCTTAGCGAGACTTCAAGGTAAACTAGCCAACCTGTTAGCTAACATCGGTGTGCGGATACGTGCTAGCGCGGCGGCGGTGGTCTTGATTTCACATCTCAATTTAATATGCTTATTGATTAGTTTAACCGCCTCAGTTCAATGGGATTTTGGGTTTGATTATGTGGCTGGCTCCTTTTTTTACTTTAAACACCCCACGGGTAGAGGAGGAGTCATCGAAGTGATTGCGGGGCGGAGGGGGTAGTTTTCTCCCATTGGAAACCCAAGCGGCGAGGTCGGAACTTGGCCGTGGTAGGGGGGAGGGGGAGAGGTATGCCTTTGATGTTCTTCGCCGCTGAATGGTGAATTGTGTTCGTGCTGGCGTGGAAATACCCAACAACTTAGCTCTCTTTCTCGGCTGGAGGTGGAGGATCGGCATTTCCCCTCCGAGCAGCGGTGCGCGAGCCGAACGAGCCTCGAATCAGGGGTCGCTCGTGCAGGTAAACGTCAGCGCAGACGACGGCGGATTTATTATTGAGACCACGTAGGGAAAAAAAACCCGCATTAACCGTACGAGTGGGTTTCTGGTTGTCGGGAGAAAAATAACTCAAGGTTGAGTGCGAGTTTTCTTATGTTCCCCCCCCCCTGTGCACTTGTTTCCTTCTGCGCAGACAAATCTGCTGTGCGGGCTGAGGGCAGGCGAGAACAATGGCGACCCAGTGTAAGTATGAGAAACTTTCCTACAAAGTGTTTCCATGTTTTGAACGGAGCCCTTTCGTATTTAATTTGTTATCTGCGTGAAAGTTTACCAAAGTGTTTCTGCACACATACATGAAATGCCATAAGACGTATGGCCGCGGAAGCACATGTCCACTAGTATCTCGGTAAATGTGTTTGTCTTGTGGTACATTGGGGCTTCTTCTCCCAGAAAACGCGTGGGGATTTAAAGAGGGGTTTTATTTTTACATACTTTTTACAAACCCTACCTGAGGTCATCGGGAACGGAGGATCAAACGCTCCCCCCCCCCCCCTTTTCCCCCTTTACATTTTTGTTATTGTAGAAATTTAGTCGACTTATTTTAATTCTTCAAATCCCGGTTGCATTGGCTCCAAATGTGAATTACTGAAAGTTTTTAACATTACTCATATTTGCCTAGAACTGTAAATAAAGGCTGCATCCACTCCGTTTTCCTTTTAACATTAGCAACACTACACCAATATCACATGACTAATCATGTAAACTGGACATGCTGGTACAGGTGTATTTACATGTTGGCTAGTTAGAAAAAACATGACTAGTGATCTAGTAGGCTTTTTTAACAAAGTCCTGCTTCATACTTTATCTTACTCTAAAATCTTCACCAATAATTGCAAACTGACACATTTCGTGGAAAGTTCTTTTTCAGCTTGCTTTGGCTCTCACACGTAAACCCATCAGATTTACTTGAAAATGAACACCACCACATGAGTGTGCTAGATTATGGTTAAATAAATTGTGTCAACACACGCACATCTCGCTAGTTTCCGTGGTTCTCACCCTTGTAGCTCATCTGGTGGCTTAGGTGTCCGTAATAATGGAGAGATTCCTTTCCAGATTATGAAGTGACTTCACGAGTGGTGCGGAACAAAATAAGCATTAATAACAAAAGGAAAGTCTTTGATTAATTTCCGTCGCCCCCAAAGCCGTAAACCATGATTTCAGATGGCTGATATTGCAGCTTGCTAATCACTCCACTCAAGGCTGCTTCCACTGCGGAAATGCAGGCTTTTAATTGCATAACAGCTGACTGATCCGCAAAAATCACTTCATGTTGGATTTACCTCGTTTAGTCTAGTAGACCTAATTGCTTTTTGAATTTCAGAGTTTTCAAACTTTCAATCTTGGGAGAGTTTATAAACTTTCCTCTTTTGTGTGCAATGAAACTCCCAACGCCATTGTATGGACGCTCAGTGTGAACGTAGCAAAAGCTATGAAGTTTTGGAATGGAAACGTAGTAGTGCGGACATGTACTAAATCAAAGTGAGGTAAAGATTACCTGTACTAACCTTCTGCGCCCTATGTTGTTTCACCTGATGTTTCCTTTCTGTGTAGCTGATCTGATGGAGTTGGACATGGCAATGGGAGACAGTAAGGCTGCAGTGAGCCAGTGGCAGCAGCAGTCCTACTTGGATTCAGGCATTCAGTCTGGAGTAACTACCACAGCTCCATCGCTGAGTGGCAAAGGAAATCCTGATGCTGAGGAGGATGAACCAACTCTCTATGACTGGGAGTTCAACCAGCCCTTCACTCCAGAGCCTACAGGTATGTATAGATGGCTACAATGTCACAACTGATAGGAGTCTCTGAGTGTTATATTAAAGACCCCCTTGCATCACTTCAGACATGGAGGGCTATGCCATGACCCGGGCCCAGCGTGTGCGTGCCGCCATGTTCCCAGAGACTTTGGAGGAGGGCATCCAGATCCCACCTACTCAGCTGGATGCCGCCCACCCCACAGCAGTGCAGCGCCTTGCAGAGCCCTCTCAGATGCTGAAGCATGCCGTGGTCAACCTCATTAACTACCAAGATGATGCTGAGCTGGCCACTCGTGCCATACCTGAGCTTACCAAACTGCTCAATGATGAGGACCAGGTATGAGTATCTGGCCGTGTGTTATCACAGGGAAATGTTGCCTTTTGAGTTGCATGT